CCTTGCTAAAATCAAGGTACACCACATCCACCCATCTCCCCGCATCCACAGAGCCTGTGTGTGTATGGTGGGGTGTGGGGGTGTGTATGTGTATAGTGGGGGGTATGGGGGGGTTGCGAGGGAGCGTGGCTGTGAGAGGAGGCAATAGGGTATGTTGGGGGAGTGTATGGGGGTGTTGGGGCAGGGTGTGGTTGTGTGGGGTTTGTGGGGTGTGAGGGAGGGTGGGGGTGTGCGGGGACCCCCCACACTTCCCCCATGGCCCACAGCCCCCCCCCCACAACAGCAGTAGCAGCAGGTGGGGTAGCTTGGGGTGCTTATGCCTGGTGCATGCGCTGCTGCCAGCAGTGTCCAGCTCTGGCTCTGGCCAGCACTGCATGTGGGGGCGAGGAACGCAGCCTGGCCAAGCTGCCTCTATTGCGTGGGGCCAGAGCCGTCCTTAGGGGTATGTGGGGCCTGGGGGGGCAGGGTGGCAGAGCTGGCAGACTGGTGGGTGGTGAACAGCCAAAGTCTGCGGTGGCACTTGACAGTGGCAGAGCATGGTGGCCACAGCAGGGCCTATGCAGCTCTGATTGCGGGCCCCCCCAAAGCGAGGGGCCCCAATTTGCCCCCCCACCCCAAGATGGCCCTGTATGGGGCTCTGTACAGCACACCTGCAGCTCCCACACAGCCACACCACCAGGGGAAACCCCATGTGATGGAGCCAGCTGCCTTCACCACTCCCTGCCATGCAAGTCCTGGGACACTGTGAGGAAGAAGGGGCCAGGGCTCTCCTCCACTTCAGCGGTGTCCCGGGACCTGTGTGCCAGGGAGCTGCGAAGGCAGCTGGCTCCATTGTGTGGGGCTTCCCCTCATGCACAGGAGTGTGGGAGCTGCACATGTGCCTCGGGAAGCAACCCATGATAGAGGCGGGCTGGCCTGGCTGTGTTTCTTGCCACCACTTGCAGCACTGGCCGGAGCCGTGTGACACCAGTAGCAGCACCTGTAATGGGCACTGCACCTCGAGTACCCCTGCCTGCTGCTTCTGCTGCTGTTGCCACTGGCTGGGGCTGTGTGCCATGGTGGGGAATGTGTGGGGGGTCCCCACACCGCCCACTGCCTAGGTGATGCGTAGGGGGTCACGTGCCTCTCCTGAGATTGGCCGCCACCGGCTTCTGTGGACAGTCGCTGCTTGCCATCCGCCCCACCCTTGCTGCCAACAGCCGCTGGCACTTGTGGGTCGTCCCCACTCACCACCCTCCCTCCCCTGCAGCCAACACCACCACTGGCGTCTACGGGCAGTCCCCACTCGCCGACGACACCACTGCCAGCGTCTGTAGGCAGTCCCCACTTGCCACCGCTGATATCACCGCCAGCGTCTGCAGGTGGTACCCACTCACTGCCATGGTGCCCCCCCAGTCTCAGGAGGCACCAATTATTCATGCTCCACCATCCCTCACGACCACACCCTGCACACCCGAGCAGGGCTCTGCACTGCTGCCAGCCCCAGCTCCAGCTCCATGCTCCTGCCCAGCTGCAGCTCCCACCCCCCCTGCTGCTTCCCCACCTGGTGCCTGGAGCAAAAGGGATGCCAGGGAAGCTGAGCAGGTCCCTTGGTGGCTGTAGCAGCGGCGGCAGCAACGCCACCCAAAAGGTGCATGCTGGTTGGGATGGGCCCTTCTACCTGTGAGGATGGGAGTGAGGTGCAATAGAGTATGTTGTGGGGGGTATATGTGGGCACCTCACTTCCACCCTCATGAGTGGAAGAGCTGGGTGGATACAATCGGTGTTCCCTCTCAGCTGTGTGGTGTGCACGGCCGTGCAGGCACGCTCATGCTGCACTGCCAGGCACACCTGTGTGACTGTGCTTGCCGCACAGCTTAGAGGAAATGCTGGGTACAACTAGTTGGTGGGCACCCGTGGGCCAGATAAAATTGCCTGGCAGGCCATATTTTGCCTGCCCTGGTCTACCTCCATCCTCTTGGGAACCCCCCTCCCCCCCCGCCCCTTTCAGGTAGTTGAAGGCTACTATCAACCCCCACCTCAGTCTTCTCTTCTGCAGACTAAATAAGCCATTCCCTCAGTTTTTCCTCAGAAGTCATGTCCCCCAGCCCCTGAACCATTTTCATTGCCCTCCGCTGGACTCTCTCCAATTTGTCCACAGCCTTTCTATAGTGAGGGACCCAAAACTGGGCACACTACTCCAGGTATGGCCTCACCAACGTCACCATGTGAATAAAATACCAAAGTTACGGTGTCCCCAGGTCTCAGACAAACCTTTTCTTTTTCTTGTTTCTTCTTTGTTCTTTCAGACTTAATTCATTTGGAAATTAGCTTGTCTCCCTCCTTTCCAGTCTCTCATACCCCCTGTTGTCTCTTGTTCTATACTCACATTATAAAACCTCTGGGACTGGATCTTTCTGTCCTGTATTTACACAGCCCCTGGCACAGAGGGGTCCTGGGCATGAGCAGGGCTCCTAGCTGCTACGGTAACACTAATATTTCATAATCTTTTCTGCAAAGCTTGTGGTCCAGCCTCCTCTTGCCTGTGCATTGGATTTAAGGGAACATGTTGATTTAGAAAGATGGTGAAAAAAAATGATGTTCTTGCTTTAGCTTTGAAACTTGCTTCTTCTGTTTGTATTTAGAGCTGGTAAAACAGTAAAAAAAAAACAAAACTGATTAAAAAAATGTCCAATAATTCTAATTTTAGGTAATTCACTGGGGGGGAGAGGGAGGGAAAGAAGGGAACAAAATGGCTTTGCATTGATTTTTAATTGAAATATCTGAAAATCTGTAGTTTGGGTTTATAACTGAGCAAAGGTGTGTGTGCAGGCACGTGCACGTGTGCATTTCCCCACCGATGCCTCTAACGGAGCTGGACAGACTTGGGTGAGGGGAGGATCCGGGGGAAACTTTGGTGTTGGGAGCAGCGGTCCCAGGCCCTCGGGAGGGGGCGCTCGTGTCCCCGCGCCGCCAGCAGCGCGCCTCACGCGGCCCCGCGCAGACACCAGAAGCGCGGGGTGTGTGTGCAGGCACGTGCACGTGTGCATTTCCCCACCGATGCCTCTAACGGAGCTGGACAGACTTGGGTGAGGGGAGGATCCGGGGGAAACTTTGGTGTTGGGAGCAGCGGTCCCAGGCCCTCGGGAGGGGGCGCTCGTGTCCCCGCGCCGCCAGCAGCGCGCCTCACGCGGCCCCGCGCAGACACCAGAAGCGCGGGCGGCGCAGACCCGCCGGGGCGCGCTCGGGCGGGCGGCAGCTGTCCCCGCCGGGCACGGCCCGGGTCCTCACCTGCCCTCTGGTTTCACTAGAAGATGCACACGTGTGTGTGTGTGCGCGCGCGTGTTTGCGCTATGCACATCCGGGGGGGGGGTGTCTGTAGTTATAGCACCCAACCCGCACACCACCTCTGTGTGTGTGTTTGCACTATGTATATCGGTGGGGGAGGGAAGGGTTTGTGTGTGGTATAGCACCCAGCTCGCGCACCACGTGTGTGTGTGTGAGAGATAGCACCCAACTCGCACACCACCTATGTGTGTGTGTTTGCACTACGTATATCCGGGGGGTGTGCGCGCGCGCGTGTGGTATAGCACCCAGCTCGCACACCACGTGTGTGTGTGTGTTTGCACTATGTGTATTGGGGAGGTGTGGTATTGCACCCAAATCACATGTGTGTGTGTGTGTTTGCGCTATATGTATTGGGTGTGGTATAGCACCCAAATCACACGTGTGTGTGTGTTTGCGCTATGTGTATTTTGTGTGTGTGTGTGTGTGTGTGTGTGAGGTATAGTACCCAAATCACACGTGTGTGTGTGTTTGCGCTATGTGTATTTTGTGTGTGTGTGTGTGTGTGTGTGTGAGGTATAGTACCCAAATCACACGTGTGTGTGTGTTTGCGCTATGTGTATTTTGTGTGTGTGTGTGTGTGTGTGTGTGAGGTATAGCACCCAAATCACACGTGTGTGTGTGTTTGCGCTATGTGTATTTTGTGTGTGTGTGTGTGTGTGTGTGAGGTATAGCACCCAAATCACACGTGTGTGTGTTTGCGCTATGTGTATTTTGTGTGTGTGTGTGTGTGTGTGTGAGGTATAGCACCCAAATCACACGTGTGTGTGTGTGTTTGCGCTATGTGTATTTTGTGTGTGTGTGTGTGTGTGTGAGGTATAGCACCCAAATCACACGTGTGTGTGTTTTTGCGGTATGTGTATTGGCGGGGGCGGGGTGTGGTATAGCTCCTAGCTCGCACAACGTGTGCGCTTGTGCTATGTGTGTGTGTGTGTGTGGTATAGCACCCAAATCACGCGTGTGTGTGTTTTTGCGGTATGTGTATTGGGGGGGTGTGGTATAGCCCCCAGCTCGCACAACGTGTGTGCTTGTGCTATGTGTATTGGGGGGTGTGTGGTATAGCCCCCAGCTCGCACAACGTGTGTGCTTGTGCTATGTGTATTGGGGGGTGTGTGGTATAGCCCCCAGCTCGCACAACGCGTGTGTGTTTGCGCTGTGCGCGGTGCCCCGTGCCGTGTCCGGGCGGTGCGGAGCCGGCGGGCCCGTGTTTGTGCGCCGAGGAGGGGCGGTGCGGGCGCGGGTGCGGGTGCGGGTGCGGCGGGCAGGCCCGGGGAAGCCCCCTGTCCCTGGTGGCGGGGTGGGGGCGGGGGCGGGG